ACCAATTCTACAATCTTACACAGAAGTGGAAACCCTAATTGTGCAGGACTCATTGTGTCATATTTTTCTAATAACTGAAGTATCAGGTTTTGATGCTCCCATTTTATCCTTTCCAAATGGTACCTGACACTTTGGCTATTAACAAGAAAAATCATGATTTAAAATAAAATCTAGAGTTACTAATCAAGATGTGTTTAAACAATGAATGACTTATTTAACTAGTTAGATTTTTCTTTAAACAAACCATTGATAATTTATAAGAAGCCAAGAATCTGAAAAGAAAAGAATGGAATCATGGTTTGTTCTTTGTTCTAGTCAGAGCAAAAAAGGTAAAGGCTGAAGTCTATAAAGGCTTAGTGGCACTATGTATGAAGTTCATAATAACTGCTGAAATATATTAATGGTACTTTAATGTAGGATATGCATGAATATGAAAAGTACGGCTTGACGGCTCTGCTCTTAAAAATGCATGCTATTTTTTAAAAAATCTATGTATGTATAATGTTAACTGCAGGGTTTACACTTTGAACTACATTTTGTCATAAATGATTTCTGCAGTCTCAAGTTGCTTTTCTTTTTCTTTTAGTGGTCTGGGGAGAGTGTAATCATTCGTTCCACAATTGCTGCATGTCACTCTGGGTGAAACAGAACAACCGTTGTCCCCTCTGCCAGCAGGACTGGGTAGTCCAAAGAATAGGCAAATAGCACGGTTTTCAGCTATTGCATCAAAATTGTTTGAAATTATATACAACTAGTGGTATACTTTCTCTATGAAGGAACTCACAGTGTGGCGAATTCCATCATATTTATTTATGTCTACACAGGGACTTGGATTTAAATTTTTTGGAAAAGTTTACTGGTTTTTTGGTCTTTGAAAATATTCCATCAGGAACTTAGCTGCAGTATTTAAGAATATATGTAAATATTTAATATGAACACTTCATTTATTTGGGAATTATTTAGGGCTTATTGGTCTATGGTTATTAATATGAGCAATTTCAACTTGAAATGTTGCTGTTTTTCTCAAAATGAAGTTATTAGTTAATAAATAATTGAGATGCATTTTTTTGGTTTATCATTATTTAGGTATTGATAAATGCTTGTTATAGTACTTTAAGTTGAAATTGAATTGACTGCCTTTTCAAAATATGTAATTTCTTCACATGCAATTAAACCTTTTATCCTTTTGAAATGTGTAAGTTGTTTGTACATAGAAGATAATGTATTTAAAATATTAATAGTTTATATTAAAAAGTTTGAATTTGGAAACATAAACTAGTAACTAGGAAATTATATATTTATCTCTCTCATTTAATGTTGGGGTTGTTTCTCTGATAGAGGTAGGCAGAATTTGCCAAAAAAACAACATGCTTGCATTGAAGCATCTAGGGCTAGGCTGTACATTTGAAAATGATAGTTTTGAAATAGTTGGGGTTTATGTACTTAACATATCTGTATCTTTTTCTTCAGCTAAAGTGCTTTCAGAGCACCTATGAGATCAATTAAAAATATAGTTATTGCTTTCAGACAAATCTCATCTCCATACAACAACAGAAGGGAAAGAAAAACAAGATAACTCACGTATAAGTTCTTAATACAATTCTTAATATTTGGGTTTTATGATTAATTGAAATGTTTCAGGCATTTTATACTTATTTAATCCTGTTTAGAAAGTAGGCATGATGTGGAATTGCTTTCACTCTTCAAAATCTCATTAACCTCAAATGTGATTAATTTAAAATTAAAGATGAGGTTACATTAAAATACAATTTACTTTGTGTCTTAAAATAAGATGTGAGACTCCAGTCTTCTTGCATCAGAAGTAATGCTCATACTTGACCATTTATAACCCCAACATTTTACTCCTTTTCTACAATAGGCCTTCGAAAAAGCTGCTACTCTCTTCTGAACATATTGAGGGATAAAATGCTTCCTACTGCTGCATACTTATTAAACTGTACCATGGAACATATTTCCCAAGCAAAAATAGTTTGATAATTGAAACTTGTACATATTGTAATGGGGGGCTGATGCAAATTAACCTGACTAGAAAATATTAGTTTGCTTATGAAAACATATACCCAGTCTGCCTGTACTCCTGTGTTAAAATGCCAATTTGAAAATATAAGGGTTCCTTAATTGTAGAATCATCTTCTTTCAAAAGTATTTAATCTTGACTGGATCTTCCTGGACATATTGTAACAGGGAATTGTAAATTATGGACAAATTGAATAGAGCCTGAAAGTTCTGTGTCAGAGCTATGAACATTAGAATGTTAACTGCCGGGAGTTGAAACCCTTTGGATAGAATTCTTAATGCCTTTCTATTGCTTTAGGTTGGTTACTAGAAACTGTAATTTAATAGTTAAAAATAAAACTTACACACATTTGTTTAGTATTTGGAATTTAAGCCATCAAGATCAGCTTTCCACTCAGTGCAGGAATCCAAATTAAAGCATTCTATGTACTGTAGCTTCAACATGCCCAATAAAGGGGAGGTTATCATTTCTGAGGAGTTGCTCTTACTGTTAGATTTTTCTAACATTCAGTTGAAATCTAGTAACTTAAATTCATTATTTCATGCCTGGCCCTTTGGAATGAAACAGAGATGTCACTTTTTTGAGGCATGCAAAGTCAGGAAAAGCAGAGGTTTCAGGAATGTTTTATTGTTAAGACACTGACTTATACAAAATGATAATAATTCCATTTGGTTGATAGACCACATAAGCAGGGGGAATTGTTGGTCCAGGGTAGCACAACCTTTCCATTATAACGAAATAATCTTTTTGATATCCATTATCAACAAAGCCATCATTTTTCATATTCCATATTGATAGATTGTAAGTGTTTAGCATATAGTTGAAAGTCCATGAATATATGTAAAAAGTATCACTTTTCCAGAAACAAAAGCAACCATGAATATTAAGTTAAAATGTTATTTCAGTAAGACAGACAGACAGATAGATCTTCATTGGCCAAGTATGATTGGACACACAAGGAATTTGTCTGGTGCATATGCTATGAGTGTACATAAAAAGACAAGATAAATTCATCAAGAATCATAAGGTACAATACTTAATGATAGCCATAAGGTACAAATAAGCAATCAGGAAACAATATGAATATAAATCGTAAGGATACAAGCAACAAAGTTACAGTCCTGCCTATACAATGTTTGTAAATGATTCCTCTTATCAATTTAATATTGCAGCAAATGGCAAATGCTGAGTTGTTATTAAATTATTTTAAAGTGTCTGAAAACAATAAACACTTTTAAAGACTAAATTAAGCTCATATTAAGCTCATAAAAATACATTTAATATTTTAAAGACTATTGTCAGTTTGTCATGGGAGATTTCAAATCTTTGTTCCAAGTTTTTGTAAATAATTGAGATCCTTCTTTGAGTGGTCTTTAATAGAGTGAGTTTTTTGTTCTTAAACCAAGATTTTTTGCACTGTTATTTTCAGCTAATTAACCTGATAAGATAGAATTTTATTTATATTAATAGATATTCCACTCATTTTTTTTTACTATCTGTAAATTATATGTATTTTTATTTCCATATTATAATGGTCTTAAGACCAGACTACACACATTCAATCCTTATGTAAAAGAAAAAAAAACCCTAGAAATTAAATTTCTATTAAAATAAAGTTATGGAGTGAAGTACATTGTAGTGACTTTCAACACTTAATTAGTCATTAATATACAGATAGTCCTCACTTATGACCGCATTTAACATCGGAATTTCCATAGTAAAGCAAGGCAGTTGTAATGTGAGTCACACTCAATTTTATGACCTTTTTGCCACGTTAAACAAATCACTGCAGTGTGGTTTTTAAAGTGTATCCAGTTTTGCCCCATTGACTTTCCTTGTTACATCAGCTGTAAAGGGTGATAACATGAACCTGGGATACTGCAACCATCATAAATGCATGCCAGTGTATGAATTTTAATCATGTGACTTATCAGAATGCTATGACAATTGTAAGTGTGAGGACTGGTTGTGAGTCACTTTTTTCAGTACCATTGTAACTCTGAATGGTCTCTAAAAGAAATGTAAGTAAAGGACTACCTGTATGGAGATGGCAAATTATAGCAGACTATTTAGCAATATTATGTGTAAGACATGTTTCTATGACTTAATAGACAACATATTTAAATGATGTTTTTGACCCTTTTGTAAACCGGAGCTGCTGGGTAAGCAAATAGTCTTAGAAATTGAGTAAGTAATCATTTAAAGAAAGAAGTCATTTATGCATCCTTAGAATTCAACTGTTATTGGAATGATATTGTAATAAGAGTAGTATAAAAAGATGAATAGCATTTATGTTTGAAAAGACCCACATCAGTAGATGTGGATGAAAGATTTTTTTTTTTGAAAATACATCTCTGCTGTTGTCAGAATTTCACAATATGGCAAAGAAAATGTTCAGATTATTTTCCAAGTCTCCAAAAATTAGAGATGAGACTAGAGCCCAAATCCAATAACTGATTAGTTTCATATCAGCTTGTCCTTCCAGATTCTGAATCCATTGTTTGTCTCTTTAGTTTTAGTAAACTTTGGTGGCTCTAAATAAACTATGAGAGAGTCCTCTCTCACCATAGTAAGACACTATGATTTGGAAGTTTGGGAAGAGTTGAGCAAAGAAAGCGCAGTTGGGCTTCCTTAAATATTGAACAGAGGGATACAACTGGTCTGGTTCTTGTAACATCCCACAGTGCAGGTAAGTCCTTAACTTACAACCATTTGTTTGGTGACAAGTTACAACAGCACTGAAAAACTAACTTGATTTTTCACACTTGCAAGCATTACAGCATCCCCATGGTCACATGATCAAAATTCAGATGCTTGGCAACTAGCTCATGACAATTTCAGTGTGTCATGTGATACTTTTTGCAACCTTCTCACAAGCAAAGCCAATGGGGAAGCCAGATTCACTTAACCATATTCTAACAACAATTGCAGTGACTCACTTAACACCTGTGGCAAGAAATGTAATAAAATGGGACAAAAATTAACTATCTTAGCAATGGAAATTTTGAACTTAGTTGTGATCAAAAGTCCACTCGCTGTATACCTCTCTATAGGAGCCACTGATAGTACTGAATATAATTTTGGGGCCAACCATGTACCTAATTGTCATGCCATCCAGCCCATACTTAATTAGCCTGCTAGTTAATGTGATATGGAGCACTTTATTAAACATTTTGTTTCAATCAAAGTATATTTTTAAGATTATCACAACCTAGCAAGGAATCTACCAATCAAAAAAATGAACTTGGGTTATGCTGGCAAGATTTGATCTTGATTAATTCACATTGACGTGGTAATTGTTGCATTGTTTTCAAAGAGCCTAGGGATGGATCTCTTTATCCCCTCTGAGATCTTCCCAAATATCAATGTCAGGTTGACAATTGCATAGTTTGCTTTTCCTTCTTTGAAGATAGGAGCCATATATGTTCTCATAAAGGTAAGATAGCCCTAAATTTAACATTCCTGCAAAAGGAAATACAGGGGGGAGGGTCAGATTTTTGTCAATCTAGGGATGCTAGTTGTAGCTGAAATTACTCTTGGAAATTTACCGTTACCCAACAAAGTGTGTGACTACCTTTTATGTATGTATAGATAGTTTTTGAGTAATGAAACATACACATTATGATTGAAAATGGTGACAGCTATTAAATGAGATAGCCTCGCATAACACCCCCACATCCTTGCTCTTCCTGATATGGCCATTAAATGAACATGTAGTCTGTTAAGCAGTGCATGGGGTGCCTTGGGTGGGGAATAGCCCCTGAAGACTTAGTGCAAACCTGGGCCTCCCAAGACCACCTCCAGATCCCAAGACACCTTGTGCTACACTTCTTGAAACATTGCAGCCTTTTCCTCCCCCAACGGTCCCCATAGGCTTTTTCACCTTTCACCAGGTCCCCATGTACCTTAGAACCTAATCACACCAAGACTCCACACCTTTCTCCTCACTTTTTGAAGATCTCCAATGCTCATGTTGGGGAGTGAGGGCAACCAACCTGTACCTGGGCCATGTGATTGCTTCCTGGAAGTAGCCATCATTTTCAGCAGCTCGCAATTCCTAACGCAGCAAAATGGAATGGTTCATCTATGAGCTGTGTAGCAGCCTACTGGCACCAGACACCATTTTGAGCCCCCCGCTTTTGGGTCACTGCCACGTGGGCAAGGAAAATTGTGTTTTGCTGTCTTAAGAAAGCTGCTGCAGCACTGTCCAGACCACATTAAGACAGCAAACTGGAATGGTTTGTTCTGGCTGGCTGGCTGGCTAACCCAAGATCCCCCAGCTGGCTTCATGTCTTAAGAGGAGACTAGCACTCCTGTTCTTACGTGCTAGAAGAGAGTGGGATTTACTCTCATTTTATATACTAGTGGCATGCCCTATCATTGTTGAAGCGAGTGGTCTTGGTGATTCCCTTTACAGAATAACAGAATTGAAAGGGATCTTGAAGGTCTTCTAGTCCAGGATACCTAACTCCTTGCCACAGCCCACTACAGGGCCATTCCTATTTGGAACTGGGCTAGGTGAGTGGCTAGGCAGCGCATGTGTGCATACAGCTCAAATTGCACAAGTGGTGGGCGGATCGACATTCACATGTGTGTGTTGGCCTGCTACTGCACAAGTTGGGCTGTGTATGCACATGCGCACTGGCCTGCCACTCAGCCCAGTCCCACCACCACCACCACCAGCAGCCAGGCCACCAAGCCACAAAGGTTGGGGACTGCTCTTCTAGTCCAATTCATGTAGTACAAGTCTCTCCCATCAGCTGGCAAATAATTGGGAGAAAGATAAATTTGTTTTTGCTAATCTCTTTAATAAATCTTTTGCCTACTTTCTTTAGAGGAGTGACACCAATCTAAAATTATTTAGGAGTTAATATGGAAAACAAGTTGTTAAATGGATTATTTTTTTGGCTCAAATGCCAGCTTTTCACAATTGTTACACAGTCTTAATATAAAGGCTTGATGCTAATTTTTTTAATAAGGCAACAACTAAAATGGTATTAAAATAACATTTTAATTAGCAATCTTAGAAACTGAAAAGAGGTTTGTAAATCACTGCTTGTTCTTAAATTTATAATGTAAGCAACTTTTAATTTACTGTGGAAAGTCATTAAACAATTTCTAGATTGAACTATCTTTAAAATGGTATATTAATTGGTGGGGTTTTTTTTAGGTTTTGTAGTTGGATGTAATTTAATCTGATAAATTTGATCTCTGTGGCCAATGTACATTTAATTACTTATTTTTGGTTACATGTTTTAGAGAAAGTTGGAAAAACAACACAATATTGAGTCATTATTTCTAAAGTTATTGTCCTTTTTTCTCTTATAAATGGTGTGACATAAATAATCAATTTTCTATTGTAATTAGCTGACAAATTTATTGTATCAAAATACTGGAAAGTTAAAATATTGAATCAATATTTAAAAGTGTCAGAAATAAGAGAAGTTAACAAAGAAGATAATACTACAAATATAAAAAAATCATGTAAGGACCAGGTTACTCACATTTAATGACCATTTTTATTCTATTCACAAACAATTCTTACTAGATTATCTTCATCTTTACAAAAATATTAACTATATGAAAAAATAATATTTTCAAAGATGATACATGTTACTCTGCCTTTTTCCTATTTAAAAATATTTATTAACATATCTAGAAGTTTAAGCAATTTTACATAGTGCTTTGCACAAAGCATGCTTTGGCATTGTATCTGAACTGAACTAGCTTTGAAGTGATATTAAATAATTTTTAATTAATGATTGCTTTTCTAAATTGCAGTTAGTATTTATTATTTCCAAATGAATATTATATTACATGAATGATATGTCCACTGGCAACTGTTGTGAATATTTTGTATTCTTGTATAATTAAAGTACAATATTGTGTATTCTGAAATTGGAATTTTTTACTAGCATAACCTCAGAATGATTAGTAAATCCAAATGAGAACAAGAACATTTGTTTTGTATGGTGTTAATATGTACACTAAGCTCATTGGAAAACATTATGAGAACCACTAAATCAAACAGTTTCTTATAATGAAGTGTGAGACATTTCTAAATATAGAGATTGCTACCAGCTTCCTTTGTAATCCCATTAGTTCAAGTGCTAAATTTAAAAAAACGCTGCCAAGAATTGTTTTTAATGTCAGCTACCAGATTTGTTCTAAACCAATGTGAGACATTTTTTCCCTGCCAGGTTGTGAGAAATTGAGATTGTCTGGTTTGAACCATATGGACCTATGATTTATAGTTTCTATAAAGATTTATTTACATATACTTTTCCTAAATGGATTTGAATTCCTGTAAAGGAATTGTAGATGACAGGAGCAAACTTTTAGTGGACTATAAAGATGCAGCTTATAATATTAGCATTTATTTGGATAAGTTCTTCATAAAATAGGTTTAATTTAAACTGAATTGTGGTCACTAAAAATAGTTATTCTTTGTTACCAAAATTGCTGTTTGAAAACTCTGAAGACAGACTTTTGTGAAATCCTGAAAATCCTATGTGACTTAAAGACATTTTTGCAGTTATAGGGGGGCCTACTTTGCATAACTGTTTTTAGAGAGTGCTATGATGCCATGTGTTTTGCCTGGTTTAATGAAGATACTGATATCAGAACTGATTTTTTTTAAAAAGGAGAATATAGAATGATCTAGCATTTCTAGACATAAACAGAATAGAGAAATGAACACTAGATAGTGGTAGAAGTAGTGAGGAGATTTTCCTGGGATGGCATCCCTTTAGCTATAGATAGCAAACCTAAAGCTCCTTACAGAGAAACCTCTTACTAGCCATTTTCCACAAATGGTACATACACCTCAAAGGTACTTAGTGAAAATCCTTCAGAGGTATTTAATAGTGGAGTCAGCAGTCTCCCTCCTATTCTTTGAAGCTTGTACATATAACCAGGTGGTGGCACAAAAAAGCAAAACGCAGAGAAATACCGGAAGATTTCCCCAGTGTTTTTACCTCAGCAAGCTCTGCTACTCCAATTGATTGCCAAGATGTGTGATATGGGGGGACTTGATAATCTGATCGCCAACACAGCATACTTGCAGGCCAGGAAGTCTGGAGATGTGGATGTCAAGGATATGCAAAAGCGGCGCAAGAGCATTAACCTACCTAAGGTTGAGGAATGTGTTGAAATTAAGAGTTCAATTTCTCTGGAATATGAGAACATTTGTGAGCAGCAGCCCATTGGGAAGAAATTTTTCAAAGAATACCTGATGACTGAGCCTGAATACCAGTTGGCCCAAGAATTCTTGGATGAAATTTTTGCTTGGGAGTTATCAGAAGATAGCATCAAGAATAGTCTCCTCGAGGGCATATTCAACATCTATCTGAAGAATGTTAGCAACACTTACTTGAAATTTCTTAGTACGGACCTATCCAACAAGTGCCAGTCAGCCTCCGCAAATGATTTTGAGAACCTCCTGCAGTCGGCCAGGGAAGAGACAAAAGGCTTTCTTAAGGGAAAACCCTTTGAGGGCTTCCAGGCCAGTCCATTCTATGAGAAATTCTTGCAGTGGAAAAGCTATGAGCGACAAACTATAAATGATAAATTCTTTGAAGAGTTCCGAACATTAGGCAAGGGAGGCTTTGGCGAGGTAAGGAGCAATTATCTAGTCTACATGCTGTGTATATAGATGAGCTTTTGTACTTAAATAAATTCATTAGACCATGGGTCACTAGATATGTTTTTGCATAAACAAGGTTCCTTGTAATATATCCATGTTTAAGTCCTTTTCACTGGTTATTTTCTTTGCACTAATATGTATTCAGGGACAATATGTAGCTTTCCCTTTAATTGGCTCAGAGTTGCTTACATGAAATCATGTTTTTTATTTTTCATGAGATACTAAACAATTCTATTATTTGTTTATGAATTTTATTTACCACCTTTGTGCTTATATAAGCACTTATGACAACTTGTAACAGGCAAGACAAAATGCAAATTTTAATTTGTTATTTTTAATTAGTTTAAAATGTATGTAGTGTTATTACTTATGCTTTAAGTAGGTGGAAAGGCTAGGACACATTCCAGCCAAGGGACTTTATTTTCAAGTTATCACTAAAGCAGTTCAGAATTGTCACTGCTATCTCTCTGCTTCTCAATATAAATGACTCACTTGGACTTTTTCCTTTTGCATGGAACATGCTGTAGGTTTGTGCTGTCCAGGTGAAATGTACCGGGAAGATGTATGCCTGCAAGAAGCTGGACAAAAAAAGATTGAAGAAAAAAAAGGGTGAAAGCATGGCTCTTCTTGAAAAGGAGATACTTGAAAAAGTCAACAGTCGTTTCATTGTCACGCTAGCCTATGCTTTTCAAAGTAAAACTGCTTTATGTCTCGTCATGAGCCTCATGAATGGTGGGGACCTTAGATATCACATTTACAATGTGGGAGAAAGAGGCTTGGAAAAGGATAGAGTCATGTTCTACTCAGCTCAGATTATCTGTGGGATACTGCACCTCCACTCCATTAAAATTCTCTACAGGGACATGAAGCCAGAAAATGTCCTTCTGGATGATAATGGTCATTGCCGATTGTCTGATCTTGGTTTGGCAGTAGAAGTCAAGGAAGGCAAAAAAATCAACAACAAGGTAAGTGAGTATTTATTGTGCAGGGTTGCAGATACAGTAGAGCAATTCTCTCTCTTTCTTATGCGTTGGATCCAGTGTTAATTCTTTCAGATTTGCTCCTGATTAAATCTTATTTGCTAACTTTATTCTATGTGACAGACTGGTAAGAAGATTTGCCTAATTCAATATTTATATTGTATAGTGCAGTAATTCAGGTACCATAATTTCTTAAAAGAAATCTATACCTTGCCAAAAGTTTCCATTTTCTTTCAAGCAATTACATGTTTTCTGATTGCTGATCGAGAAAATAAAGAAAGTGGTATATTATGCAATGAATTGTGGGGAAATGAAATTATGAATGTAAAGTGTTACCCTTATTATCCAAATATAAAACATAATCTATAGAAAGTTCTGTACAAGCCCATTGCAAGTAATAAGAATTACATAAGAATATTAAAGTTTGTTTCAGTAAATGAAAAAAAAAACATTTATTAAAATTGGGAAAGACAGACTACACTAGGCCAGATTGGTTTGCACAATATATACATATAGGAGCAAGGGGGTGAGGAATAGGACACTTGGAAACATAAATTAATTGTCTTCTTGTTGAACTTTTTATTTTAAAAAGCTTTAGAAAAATTAAACTACATTTTTCTTTCAATTATGCTTAAAAGTGCAGAAGATAGCATTGATTTAGACATTAATACATAAGCAAAGAATTTTGAAAAATGATTATATTACTTTATTCACATTAGGCTCCATTTTTAGTTTTATAATTTTTAAAATCCTTGGTTTATTTGTGTATTTATCTTTGCTTTTATATGGCCACGTATCACACAAAGTGATTTTGGATGGTGTACAACAATTGAATACAACAACAAATAGATTAAAATATCAAAAAAGGATTAAAAAATTAAGAATATTATCAATATATTTAAAAGGCGTTAAAATCCCATGGAAACAGCAAGAATGTCATGACAATAGTAGGGCCATCTAGTAATCTCTTCAGTTCCCAAAGATCTTTACGCCTGATGACATAACCAAGTCTTGAGGACTATTTAAACTATAGCACAAAGAGGTACCACAGCACCTCCTGGACAAACCAGATGCAATTCCCTGGCTGATAGAACCCATAATATCCCTTCCCTCCCAGATCTAATGGGACAAATGATTGTCTAAGCAATCAGGAAGATGCAGTCCTTCAGATAAGCTGGTGCTATGCCCTGAAGGAGTTTAACAGTCAAAACCAGTATCTTGAATTGGACCTGGAAGCTTACTGACAATCAATATAGCTTGTGAAGCAGAGGTATAATATGTGCTCTTCTAGTAGTATACATAACTGCCTGCCCCACCACAGCGGATGGGGGATTGGGAACTTTTGATTTAATGGAAGTCCCATGTAGAATGCATCTACACTCTAACCCAGTACTCCCAATTTTGAGGTGACTAGGGCATAAGTAACCATGAACAGTCTCTCAATCCAGGAAGAGATGCATTTGGCACATAGCACAAAGTTGTGCAAAAACCCTCCTAGCCATGACCATCACCTTCTCTTTGAGCAGGAGTCATGAACCTAGGTGGACTCCCAGGTTGCCCCTCCCTCCAGCACCAAAGATGGCAAAGTCCTAGAAAGTCACATACAGCAACGACGGATGCACAACCTCCATCCTTCCCATGCCTGAGATCAATACAAATTATGTTCAATGCCATTTTCCCCCCAATACCCAGGTCTGAATATTAACTGTAAAGGATCCAGATAATCTGCTTTATCCAGTGCCCTCTGAAGCTGTTTGCACAACCACCTTCTCATTCACCTTGTCCCAAAAGAGGAAATTAGATTACTGAGCAAAAGGTGTCCAGTATAGTAAAATCCAGCAATGGCTTCTGAAGGAGGGGGCAAACCAAAACCTCTTTAAGAGGTAAAGGAACAACCTCCTCACTCAAAGAAAAATTAACCACTGCTAGAACCCACTCTTACACTCTGGACCACTTTCAAAGCCAGGAGGATATTAATCTAAAAAGCTGGTGGTTAAGTTCACAATTTAAAGCACTCAGTCCATTTCCTCAGGTCCAAGAGATTCAAACTATTCTCAATAACCAGGCAAGACTCCACCACAGACATTTCCTCTGGATATGCAGCAAGGCCAGCATCCAACTGCAAGCAAATTGGAGCAATTTTATCCAAATTGCTCCCCATGCACAAGAGGGCTTGTCTCACCCAAAACAGGTGTGTGGGGCAACAATCTCTGAATGCAATGGGGGTGGAGAAGTCCTAGCCTTACTGCCACAAGGTAAGTTCTAATAGTGACTCTAACCCAAGTTGTTGTTGACTTATTCTTGGTTGAGTGCCAGTGCTGTTTTAATATCCAATCTTTTGGTTTGCCTGGGCTACATTGAGTGAATAGTAATTGTCTTGGGCTGTTTCTAAAATATATAATATGGTCAATGTATATAAACAACAAATGTTTTCATTTTTTATTACATCTTGTGGCACCGCATTACTAGCTAACCAGGGCCACATGCGGCTCATGGGCTGTGGGTTGAACACATCTGTTCTAGATGTCTCTTCTCTCATTTCATCTCCCTCAGCTCCTCCATAAACCACAGGGGAGTGACAAGATCCCTGACAGAGAAGTAGTTGTATGAGTGCAATCTAATCCAACTCCTTAGCCATCCTCTGTTGCAAGCAGCAACCAAAGCTTTGGATGGAACTTGCAGCAGACTTAACAGGAATAGCTGCTAGTTTCCCCCGAAACCCATCTGAGTCCATCAATTGTCAGTAGCAGACCAATCTAATGAGCCCAGTCTTTCACAGTGGATAACAACTCTAGAAAATCCCATGGAAATCAGGGTGTGATGTCACCATGACAAAGAGAGACACCAAAAACTCCCTCCATTGCTCTGATAGGAACACCAGATGCAGAATATGACCACTGTTCTATGTTGAGTTCTGGGTAACCTGGGATTGGTCCATGGCCGTCATGGTAGCCATGAATTCTAGAGCCACTTCTAAGAAGATGCTTCAATTTTTTTATTTACATAGAAATATATGGAATGAATAGGTATGTGTTTATATATGGAATGTATGGAATATTTATATGGCATGAATGTGTAAATTGTTGTATATCTCCTTAATTTTACAAATCTAGTTAATATGTAATAATTATATTAATAAATATTTATATTTATTTTAAATTAATGTGCATTCTTTTGTGTGTGTTTGTATATATTTTTTATTTTTACTTAGAACTATTTTTATGGTTTTGTGATTTTACTGTTGTGAGTCGCCTAGAGTTGTGCCTTAAAATGGATATGTCTGTAAATCCTTTAATTATACAATAATATAATAACAGAGTTGGAAGGGACCTTGGAGGTCTTCTAGTCCAACCGCCTGCCTAGGCAGGAAACCCTATACACTTTCAGACAGATGGCTATCCAACATCTTATTAAAGACTTCCAGTGTTGGGGCAGTCACAACTTCTGGAGGCAAGCTGTTCCACTGATTAATTGTTCTAAGTGTCAGGAAATTTCTCCTTAGTTCTAAGTTTCTTCTCTCCTTGATTAATTTCCACCCATTGCTTCTTGTTCTACCCTCAGGTGCCTTGGAGAATAGTTTGACTCCCTCTTCTTTGTGGCAACCCCTGAGATATTGGAGCACTGCTATCATGACTCCCCTAGTCCTTCTTTTCATTAAACTAGACATACCCAGTTCCTGCAACCCTTCTTCATATGTTTTAGTCTCCAGTCCCCTAATCATCTTTGTTGCTCTTCTCTGCACTTTTTCTAGAGTCTCCACATCTTTTCTATATCATATTAAATAAATAAATCCATTTAGTTCTATCAGTTGACCTTCCCCAGCAAAATACATTAAATAACATGGGATGAATGCAGCAGCCTGCATATCCTGAATCATGACTATGATCTCCAATACTCCTTCATTTATGTTTGACCCATGAAGGAAGTAGAACTCCCAACTCTCCCCAATAGTCCAGAAAGTGCTATGAAGTGCCTATTATTAAAATGTCTAAATAATGTACCTTTCTTGTGTAACAATTGTTTTAACAATTATTTAATTATATAATATATAATAAAATAAATTATTTTTCGTTACATAGTCAGCCAGATGTTTAGACTGCATTTGACATTTTGTCTGCCTATGGAATCCTTATGAAGGATCCTTATGAATCCTTAAGGAGATGCAGATGTTTGATGGTGAAAAAGGTATCATTGTTCCAAGTAAATCTGCTTTATTAATATTTTATTATTATTAACCATTATTAAATTATACAATTAGAATATGTGATTATCACTGGTAATATTGTAACAGTTATCAGTTAGTAATTACTGCACAAAGTCTTAATAGTCTTACACAGTTTCAAACAGCAGCAGCAACAGACAATATCCTGGAATTCTGTCCCTGAATTACATACAAAATGTACACTCCAACAGTGGGGGAAAAAATCTAGATAAATGCTGTTCGTACCCAAAAGTCAACCCAGAATTTAAGGCAGTTCCATGTCTACAAAAGAAATAGTAGACAAGAAAAAAAAGTTATCTGTTCCACTCTTTGCGAATTTCATGTTAGACCTTCTCATGTTAAATCACTTGGGGAAAGCCATAGGCTTCTTTCAAATAAATATTATGTACCATATTTCCAGGATCCAATACAACTTACTGACCTTTTGTATAGTCAACTGAAGTCATGATGAAATCAGGATTAATTAACAACTATTAATTTCAATGAAAATGCTACATAAATGAAATAAACATTTTAGTCTGTGATATTGGAAATTGTAACTTTTTTTACTATGTTCATTTTGTTATTTATTTTGAAATAAAACAATATAGTTATTGCAAAGCATTTGCTGTTCAAATTTCTCCATCCATCCACATGCTTATAACGGCTGTTTTAAATGTGGATTTGGTCATCACAGATATCAGCTTATATAATAAAAATATCTTGTTACTAAGTAGGTCTTTTCTCCATTGACATAAAATGTAAGTATAGATGCTATAACATT